GCGCCCAGTGCAGAGAGTCAACCTAAGGGATCAAGCAGGTGAGCCGCTTGATACGGAGGCCTCATTAAAAACTATGCGCGAATACTCGAGTCAAATCTTCTCCAAAAGTTCTCCTTTGCACTCAGTAGCTGCTGTGCCCAGAGCAGCGATCACCGCCTTGCAGGTATCCTCACAAATCAAGACAGTGCCAGTGGGGAAAGCAGTCCCCAGCACCTCAGCCCCAGTATCAGCTTGGAAGAGTCTAGGTCCTGAAGCCCACGAACACATAGCAGGTCTAATCAACTCTGAGGTGTCCCAATCAGAAATTTCCCCTTATCTAAAGGACCCTCGAATTGCATGGATCCCCAAGCCGGGCAAGCCAGCCACCGCCATGCAAAACCTGAGGCCCATAGGAGTCATCAGCGTGCCAGGCAAAGTGCTAGCAGGCGCAGTGAAGACTCGCATTGCACCAGCACTGCAGGTGAGCTCACAGCTTCAGCCTCAGTTTGCGTACATCCGGCAGAGGGGGGTGCGGGACGCTATCGCGAAAGCATGTCAGCACCTTGATTTCGCGCAGCAGCTCCGTCAAGAGCATCGCAGGGACCTGCACAAGTCCCAATGCGGAGCCAGGCAGGCTCAGCTGTCAGGGGCACCTACTATTTCGGTTGATCTGAGCAAAGCTTTTGATTCTGTTAATAGACATGAGCTGCTAGCTGCCTTGGATCGCCTGGGAATAGACCCTGTTACGAAAGAACTGGTAGTTCAACTACACAGTGAGACCTCCTACAACATGGGCACAAGTGGACTAGAGATTCAAGTTCCCACTTCTTCAGGAATCAAACAAGGTTGCAAGCTAGCCCCGGCATTGTGGTCTGCGCTGACACTTCTAGTCATGAGCAGAATGGAGCAGAAATGGGGCCCAGATAGCAAGCAAGCTAGGGACATCCTAACGGTCTTTGCAGACGATTTCCTGCTCCAGGAAACCTTCTCGAGCTTTCCTGAACTTCAGAAAGTCCTGCTCAGAATAGAGGCTCTCTTTCAGTCTCTTGAGGACGTGGGGCTGGAAGTCAATCCAACGAAGTCCAAAGCCTTGCTAATGGTTCAGGGCACTCAGCAGTCCATCTTTCGCAAGAAGCACACGATGCGCAAAGAGAAGCAGTTGCACATCGTCCTTCCCTCAGGACATAAGATTCCGATTCATCACAAACTAACATATCTAGGGGTGCAGCTCAGCTATGGATCCTACAAAGACCAGACTGTTGACTATAGGATCGCCCAAGCTCAAGGCAAGTTTGAGCTACTTCGACACATCCTGTGCTCCACTAAGGCCTTGGAGGCTTCAAAGAAGTTGGAGATCTGGAGGGTCTATGTGGAATCCTCACTCTTGCATGGGCTTGTGGCCACTGGCATCACCTCATCAGGTCTTCAGAAGCTTCAGAGTAAATACTCGAGGATGCTAAGATCCATCTTTAAGCAACATCAGCACTACAGCCATATTGACACGAAGACTCTGTTCGAGCAATATAAGGTTCAGACTCCTCAAGCAGTTTTGATCAGCCAGATGAAAAACTATCAAGACGCACTAGATGCCTGTCAGAAGTCCAACCCGGATCAGAACATACAGTGGCATCTGGGACTTAGAGGTAGGATTGTTGCGCTGCAACAGGAGCTTCAGAGCATGCATTTGGACCTGATCGAGGCAGACCAGGAGGTACCGTGCTCTCTGTGCGATCGGAAATTTTCCAGCGCTAAGGGTCTTCAGCAACATACTCTGGTGAAGCATGGAGGACAGCGTGCGAATCAGCTAGGCCCAAAATTTCAGGTCACTGTGCATAGCTGCAAAGGACTTCCGCAATGTGCGGCATGCAACAGGCAGTTGCGCACAATGCATCAACTTCGCAGACATGTGGAGTCAGGCATTTGCCCTCAGCTGCACGAGCTGAAAGAAACGAGCCAAATCCTGTACAAGCTCAGAAAGCATAGCTATGATCTATCAGTCTAGCGTGCAGGAACAACTTAAGAAGGATCCTGATCTTCTACTAAAAAAGAGACATGTCACTCAGCATCTATTAACGAACTGCAGTCTCTGTGGGCAATACATTGTTGGCCACAAAGGAGTGAAACAGCACATTCAGAAAGCTCATCCCGCTTTCTGGGCACAATCCTCGGCATCCATTCTTGCCAACATGCGAACACATAAGCGCCTCCTGCACAAAAAAGAAGAATGTAGGTATTGTCGCATTGTGGTAGATGCTCCAGTACGCCATGCAGAGCAATGTGTGGTTCTGCTTCAGACATACGCCATGAGTGCAGCTTGTGCCAAGCCTATGGAACTGCCAGATCTCTTCAGTGCAGATCCTCCAATTAGCCAGGTGAGAGGCAGGGAGGCTTCCTCCCAGGAGGCTTCCTCCACCAGTAGGATTCGGTCTCATCAGGCACCAGCAAGCTCCCAGCGAGACGCACCAGCAGAGGGGAGACCTTCGTCAGTGCCCGTCACAGCCTGGTCTCTGGCCTATCATAATCCGCATCAACTGTGCTATGCACACACAGTAGTGCATATCCTTGCCTCGCTTGCATCAGAGGGTATTCTTTCTGATCCATATCTGAGACAAATATTGACGGAAATTGACGCAGTAGGGGGTCGTTCTTCTAGTGTGGATGTTCGTAGGCTGCGACAGCTACGTCCTCTGCTGACGGGATGGCGATTCAGACCCAGGCAAGAAGATGCATCCCAGTTTCTAGCACATATCATTCAGAGATCCCATGTGCTTTCAGCAGATGTTTGGGAAGCGAGGGTTCAAATCACAGCACCCGTGGAAAGAATCAGCGTAGAGGATAGAGGGGGTTTGATTCTTTTCTTGCCTGACCCACCAGATGGCCTCTCCACACTACAGCAAGCCATTTCTCAGTGGGCGCACAGGGGGAGCACCTATGGGCTACTCCCGGGAGTGAACCTGGTTTGCATTCAGATCCAAAGGTTTGAGCACTTGGAGAAAACAAATCGGCCTCAAGTTTTAGACACAACTCTGGAGCTTCCAGAGTTTATAGATAATGGCACGACAACCGCTGTGGTCAGCTTTCGACTATATGCATTCATCATTCATCTAGGAGATGATTGGAGATCTGGGCATTATAGGACAGGTTTTTTGAGAGAAGAAGTGGCGTATCTCGCAGATGATGACCGCTCACCACGGCGAACTACGCTCCTCTCGGATCAAATTTGCCAGGGATCGTATTTGGCTTTCTACGTAAGGGTCTAGCTCGCTCTACCTTCGCATGCGGAGGTTTCCTCCGGAGGCTTCCTCCGCAGCAGTGTTCTTTCTTCTTAAAGTAGACCTATCTGCCTGCTGTTGCCTAAGGCAACTCGGCATGAACGCTGCCCTGCGCGCAATAAAGCCATGATCTCGTGCTAAGATGTATAGTCTCTTGCGTGAAACTTTCACATGCGGAGGTTTCCTCCGGAGGCTTCCTCCCCGGTAGTGTTTCTCACAGTAGACCGTTCTGCCTGCTGTAGCTTAAGGCCAAGCTGACCCATTCTTGTCCCTGAACCTGAAGCATCTGAAAGAGCCCTGCGCGCACTTCAGAACATGTGAGGTCTCCTCCAGGTCGGTGGGTTCAGATTAGGGTCACTTTTTCGGATGCAACCTTGCCTTGTCGCAGCGCTGGCCCCGAGAGCCGTGCAAGGTGTCCCAGGTCAGGTGCTTCCCTCTTCGCAAAGTACTCGTGCCTATGCGAGACCTCCTCGTCAAGTTCGGTCAGTTGGGGTCACATTTTCTCGACCAGGAATGCAATTTTGCCCTGTCGCAGCGCTGGCCCCAGGAGCCGCGCAAGGCGTCCCAGGTCAGGCTTCGCAAACTTAGCTACCCTGCCTCCAACTTGGGCATCCTTCTTGGAACGTGCAAGGCCGCCTTGGTGCGCTCTGCCTACGGCCCTCTGCCAGTTGTTTAGCGTTACCTGTGTGAGACGTCACTAGACAGGAACGCTGAGTGTCGGCCTCACCAGAGGTACGGCTCGCTAAACAGCTGGTGCGTGGGTGCTGGACGCAGTGACTCACAGTAGGGTGTCGGGGTAGCCGCGCTTATTTTCACTCTTTTGCAGTGCTGAGTACTTGATATCGGAGGCTGCCTCCGTGCCAACTTCAATTTCTTCAATTTCTTCATTGATTCATTGCATCAGATTAGGAGGTTTCCTCCTGAATATCCTTAAGTACTCTGCCAAAGCAGATTCAGTATAGCAGGTAGTGAGACCTGGCAATCTGGAGGAAGCGATCCTCTCGAAGTCCAAAAGGCCGGACTGTGAAATAAAAAAGGCGGGTGAGACCTTCTAAATCACACTTGCCCGCCTTAATCACACCAAACTCAGCTAGCGCACAGCTCTAGCCTGCAACACAACATCGGGGCCAGCCGGCACTGCAGCAGTCGCGGGTGCAGGTGAGCCAGTAGGAAGCGGTCGTAGGGTGCCCAGCCAGCACAGCGCTATCGCAGCCCTGAGGGGCGGATGCATTCCACATAATCGAACATAGCTGTGCACAACAATCTTTCAGCAGCCCTGAGGGGCGTGAAGTACGAACTAGCAAAGACTGCTGGAGCTCCCAAGGCGGATACAGAGTAGCCGACGTGCCGAGGATCCAAAGTGATCAGAGGTCCACATGCTGATTCTGGCAGTGAGTGCAATGCAAAAATGTTGTTGTTGTTGTTGTTGTTGTTGTTGTTGTTGTTGTTGTTGTTGTTGTTGTTGTTGTTGTTGTTGTTGTTGTTGTTGTTGTTGTTGTTGTTGTTGTTGTTGTTGTTGTTGTTGTTGTTGTTGTTGTTGTTGTTGTTGTTGTTGTTGTTGTTGTTGTTGTTGTTGTTGTTGTTGTTGTTGTTGTTGTTGTTGTTGTTGTTGTTGTTGTTGTTGTTGTTGTTGTTGTTGTTGTTGTTGTTGTTGTTGTTGTTGTTGTTGTTGTTGTTGTTGTTGTTGTTGTTGTTGTTGTTGTTGTTGTTGTTGTTGTTGTTGTTGTTGTTGTAAGATTCTGGCCCAAG